GAGAGAGAGAGAGAGAGAGAGAGAGAGAGAGAGAGAGAGAGAGAGAGAGAGAAGGTAAGTCTCCAAGGTCGCGCCTGGCTAGAACATGGAAAGATAACCGCGACAACAGCAGCTGCGCCGCCCGCCGCCCGCCCCCCGGGAAAAAAAGGTACAAACGCGCCAACCCAGCCAGCCCCCAAAAAAACAGGCCGCTCGAAACAGCCCGCCGCGTCTAAACGCGCGCCCGATTTCGCGAGCCCTCGAAGCCGCGCCCTGCAAAATGCGACGTGAGAAAAAACGACAAAAAAAAAGCAAAACGAAATGTTGCACAGCGCCTGTCCCATCCAACCGACGTCCGGGCGTCATTTTTCCTGGGGCCAGGGGAACCGACGTCCGGGGCCCTATCCATCCTTTAGTAGTTAGATAGATAGATAGATAGTAGTTGCTGCTCATAATGTTTTGCTAACCGAGGAGGTTAAGCTCTTAAACAAATTTCTGATGTGGCAGTGTCAGTGGTCATGAGTTAGTTATTTGCTCCTTACTTCTGGAACAGCAGTCGGTAGTGACAGAGCATAGCATCGCAGCAATCCTTTGTCGGCTTTTTTGGCCTTGGGGTTTCCTAGCATGCGGCAGGCTTTGGACTGCCATTATCTGCTTCGTCTTTTCCAAGATCCTGCGGTCTCACAGCTGACTAAGTCAGCTGCATCCGGCTCATGGTTGCTGATCTCAGCAGGGTCTACCATTGTGTGTATAATACTGTATATAGATTTTTTTTTTTTTTCTAAGGAATTTCCTTGTTTGAACCTAGCCCTTGTTTGTAAGTTTTGGTGGCTTTGGTTTTATTTGGCATTGTCTGCAATTCCGAACAATGGTTCTGGAGCACGACCATTGCCAGAAGTTGTGAAATGGAAAACATCAAAATGGGTTTGCCTCAATGCTGGGTTGGCAACCAGCTGGTTGGACTGGCCCGGATGGAACCAGGGCGGGTCGACCCAGGTCGTCCAATCGGAATTCCAGTTGGGCTCAAAAGGGCTCCAACCTTTTTTTTTTTGGGTTGAAAGCAGGGTTCGACTGCGCTCGCGGAGGACAGCCAGAATCCGCAAAGAAAACTGTGAACTGAACTTTATCCGGTGGACGAGAGGAGGGGAGGGGGGGGGGACTTTGGCAATGATGACTGGTGGGGGTGAAGAAGAACTAGAGGAAGGACAAGAAGAAGAAGAAGAAGAAGAAGAAGAAGGAGAAGAAGAAGAAGAAGAAGAAGAAGAAGAAGAGGATCGCAGAAGGAATAAAAAAGTGAAAAGAGAAAAACAAAAGACAACTACGGGGCCTGTGGGCCTATGGCTATGGCTACGGGTTGGGAGCCGGGGAGGTGGGTGGTAAGAAGAAGAAAAAGAAGAAGAAGAAGAAAAAGAAGAAGAAGAAGGAAAAGAAGAAAAAGTAGGAGACCAAGAAGAAGAAAAGAAGAATTAGAAGGATAAAGAAATAGGGACTATGGCTAGGAGGAGAAGAAAAAGCCGACGATGAAGAAAATAATAACTAGAAGGAGAAAGAAGAAGAAGAAGAAGAAGAAGAAGAAGAAGAGGAAGAAGAAGAAGAAGAAGATGAAAAAGGTGGCTGTGGCTACGGCTACGAGAAAAGGAAGAAGGGAAACACCAGGAGAGGGGGAGAAAGGAAATGAAGAGGAGAGGATGAAGAAGATGATGAAGAGGAGGAGGAGGAGGAGAAGACGTGGAGGAGGAGAAGAGTAGGAGGCGGAGGTAGAGTAGGTGTTTAAAAAATGAGGGGACTGGGGGTGGTGTGGGTGCAAACGGGCGAAAAAAAAACTCGAAGGGGAACGGAGGGAGAAAAGATTAAAAGAGGAGAGCAGGATGAAAAAGAAGAGGCGGAGGAGGAGAAGAACAAGAGGAAGAGGAGAAGAAGAAGAAGAAGAGAAGGAGGAGGAGAACAAGCGGGGGAGGAGACAGACAAGAGGAAGAAGAAAAGGAAGAGGAAAGGAAGAGGTGCGGATCCCTGTCCGGAGGTCCGGATCGCTGCCATGCTCCAGACCTCTCCTCAACCTCCATAGCTGCCTCCGACGGGGCTATGAAAGTTTTAGGGTTTTTCACTGAAGAGCAGGGATGGCGGGCCCAATTGATGTAGCGGGCGAGCTCTGCTGCTGTCGCTTTCCGGAATAGCATGGAACGGATAGTGTTTCGCCAACTATGGACATTTTAGAGCTCTCCGTTCCATGCTATTCGAGGAAGCCACATACGTAATCAAAGCGAGCTTTGCGCTATGACACATCACGCCTTCGCTTTCAATGAGAACCTGCAAACAGTGCAAAGACATTTCGTATCAGGTTACAAGTCCGACCCCGAGCACGCCAGACTCCACGAGCAACTCTCCTCAGAGAACCCACCGGCAAGCCACTATCGTATCGTTGATGGGTACTTTCTCCTTCAGTCACGTGGCAAGGACTTACTATGTGTTCCTCACGATTGAAACGGTATTCACCAGTTCGCAGTAGCCGATGCAGATCCCAGGGCTCGATCCCTAGATCTCACCTTACCTGTGTACAGTATCTGTGTCGACCCTGAGAGTTGAACCCGTGTCCTGTGTATTTGTAACAGTTGGTAGACTGTCCTAGGGTCCGTAGGTAGCAGGGGTTCGATCTGTAGACCTGTCGAGTAGAAGTCCTAGGGAGTTCTAGAAGTCGTAGCCATATAACTTCTGAAAGGTCAAGGTCGTAGCTGCTACAGTCCTGAAGGGTCAAGGTCGTTGCTGCTACAGTCTTCGAAAGGCCAGGACCCCGACTTCTGGAACGTCCTAGTAGTGGCCTTTCGAAGTTGCTCACGTTTTGGCTGAGGCAAGTGGGCAAGTGGGCAAGTGGGCAAGTGGGCAAGTGGTGAGCCCAACTGCAGTATGTCGGCAGTGCGACTGCATCGAGTTGGCAGTGCAAACCCATGCAGTCAGCAGGACCGGTCCCAGTCAGTCCTAGTCCAGTCAAGCAAGTACCGCATGGGACTGTGTGCACCACGGGCAAGGGAAAGGGCCAGACCAACGAGCTACAGAAG